GCAGAACCTAGAAGTGCATAATACCTAGTCTTTAGAAGGAATAGAGTAAAGCTATCGACTTCCTCTTCAGCCATAGATTTAAAAGATAGATTTCAGTCCTTTGTGATGGATAATATACCTTTCTCTTCTTTTTTCTTTAGTTAGTGTAATGTTGTAAAAAAATATAATTTAAATTTGTATAAATTTTAAATTAATTAATTAAGGCATTGTTTGCTTTTAGATGTTCATAAGTTTTTCCTTTCTTTCTGCTCTTGTGACTTTTGTGGTTATTGTGCTCACAACTTTAGAGCCTCATTAGAGTTAGTATTTGCACTCGTTTCATAGCTTTAGCTTGAGTTTTGAGGTTTTGGTTCCTTTTGCCTTGTGTTTTATGTGATGGATATTGATGAATGATTACCTGATTTGTTTATATTGACTTATCAGGAGATTTCCGTACCTTTTGCCCTATATTTCTTATTTTGGCATGCGTAATGAAGGAACCTTTAGATTTACATTAGGTCAGTGTGAGGGGTCATTGATCTGAAGCTTTATGTATAATGGACTTGTTGATGACAAAATCCTTTTTTTTAGCTTTAAGCTTAATATGAACTTTAGGATAATTTCTTCAGTCTTTTACTTTATACTTTGGTGGACATGTTGAAGAATAAATTCCTTCAATCCTCACTTTGTGCATTATGAATTTATTGAAGGATTTGTAGCTTTTAGGTTGAGTTAGTAATACAAATTATAAGAAATTCTCTAACTCTTAACCTATCAAGAAGACTTCAATCTAGGTTATTTGAGCTTAATAGATTGGGTAAGCTAGAATTTAATGGATCTCATCATTTGACTAGTGAAATTGGGGTTCCTTTACTATAGATTTCTTATGATTTGTTGAGTAGACAGAGCTGTCAACTACTCAATCACATCTTAGCTTATTGAGTCTGATCTCATATTTCCGTAAAGGCTTTTAAACTTGAGCTATTTTAAAATAGAGCCATTTAGGCTATTTAAATGGGTTGAATAGCTCTAATTAAGGCTGATCAATTGTGATTCAATTTTCCTTTATTTTTAAATAAAGTTTTAAAGAATGACTTTAAATTTTTACAAAGAGTGATCAATAAATCCAACTTTCATGATTTGTTTACCATAGTTGCACTAAACAATAGATAATTTGTGAAAAATACTTGCATGTCAAAATTTTATCATTTTCAAATTTTTAAAAACTATTATTTATCTATTTTAATCAATCAAATATAAAATGATTTAAAAAAAAATTATCAAACACATTTGATAGATTTATTAGCTCATAGTGAAGCTCCCATAAATTTATCAAGCCTTAATGAATCATAGCATGCCTATCGTGATTTTTTTAAGTGGTGATAGTATGCATTGAATTTATTGGTGATGGTGTTTATTGACATTTTGTGTGATGAAATGCAACGAAGTCAGCAAGTATTGGCTTTAATTTCAACATTGCGCATCAACCTTATTAGTTATATCATGGTTTCGCTTAATATGCTACGTTATGACAATGTGTGCCAGCTTTATAGCAATGACATTCATAGATATTATCAATCATAACATGCTACAAAGTCAATAGGTGATAATCTTCAAGTGTTGGTAGTCAGAAGAAAATAATTGGATGATGATAGTTAGGAGACAGTGGTTGGGCTAAAATAGTTATGTAAAGGTTAAGAGTGCCAAAATGGGTTTTCGAATTACATTTGGGTCCAACCCAAAACTTTCATGCCTTTATTTAACCATGCTCGAGCCCTAATTGTTTAGAAAAATGGGTCAAAAATATAGACCTGGACAAGGTCGGCCCCTAACCCAAGTTAACCCAACCAACTTTTTAACCAGCATGCCCTTTGTTGTAATTCTGGATCCAAGTACTGTGATTTTGATGATAACAAATATAATTGTTAACTTCTTCTATTATTGTATATCTATTTTGGTTGCCTTTCAGGTCCATAAGATCACTTGCAATGCAAATTAGCTCAAGATCAGGTAAACTAGGGTTAAGTCTTTCTAGAAATTTAATTTCAATATACTTTTTACTTTTCTTGAGTCAAGTCATATGTATTTGGTGGAGCCCAAGCTAAGTAACCTTGCACATACACTTAAGGGGAAAATTTGATGAGTTAGAGAATTCTATATTGTTGACCTAATCATACAAGACAATTTCAAATCATATTGGACGATCAGTAAAAACAAAAACCCTTATTAGGGCATCAATACTAATTATGAGTGATTAAACTAATCATACTTGATGATCCCTATCATCCACGACAATCAATTTATATGGTGAAAAATAATTGTCAATCACAATTTAGGAAATATTTTAATTTTTAAATTTTGTACTAATCATACAAGAGGATATATATTATCCTTGACAATTTAGGACAATCATGCCTAAAATAATCATGTGATTTGGAGAATAATTATGGTAAAGCTTAATTCAATATGATTATACAGGATGATCAGTGATGATCATCCTAGATACCAGAGAATATGTATGGGACGATAAGGGATCGCCACCTATCGTACTGGATGAATACCATAATTTTTCAACTAATCATTTATGATGATTGACCCTTTTCATCCTAGATGATAGAGAAGTACATGGGATAATTAGACATCGTCGGGTATCATACTAAACGAAGTTTAATATATTTAAACTAATCATCCTAGACAATATTATAATCGTCTGGGACAATCAGCCTAATTCTCTTGAACTATTCGTACAGGGCAATGTTGGTTGTCCTGGCTGAAAGGGTTGTTTTGTACTAATTGTACATGAGATCTATCGATTGTATAGGATGATTAGTTGCGCATAATTAAAAATTATTGCTTATTTTGGATGCTCTCTATTAAAGCAATTGTATTAACCCTTGAGTTAATCTTTTGCTGTGGAGTTGACCTGAGAAAGAAGTGGGAGAGCTTGAGAGAGAGAGAGATCCTTATGAGAGAGGGAAAGTTATGAGGGATTCACAAAGGTTGCTCCAAGAAAGATGTTCATCGTCATATTCAAGCTACTGTCCTAGTTCCTTGGTGGCTATGAGGGAGATCTTCATCATCATTAGATCCAAGTTCTCTGCCTACTCCAGGAGGGAGTGAAAGGATTCCCAGATCCTCTGTCTTCACTAGGAGGGTGAAAAAAAAAATTTCTGATTCTCTGCCTACTTCAGGAGGGAGTAAAAGGATTCAAGGTTCTTTGTCTCATTAGGTCGGTGGAAAGATTTTGTAAGAGCTTCTCCGTCCTAATGTGTGAGCAAAAGGATAGTCACTTCTGTTTAGTGTAATACTTAGAGAGGGATTCTCCACGGAGCGGATGTAGGTCAAGTTGACCGAACTACTATAATTCTTGGTGTGTTCTTTCTATTTACTTTTTGCATTTTAATTTTTTCATTTTTATGTGATTTGATTAGTGTTTGAAATATCTGATTTCTATTATTATCAAATTAGTTCTACTTTCGTATTAAGAGATTTTAATTTTTTCGTTTGATTAAGAAAATTTTAAAATAACTAATTCACCTCCCTCTTAGTTAGTCTCGGGACTAGTTCTTTAGGATTTAACCACCCTCATGAACTTTCACCCTTGTGGCCATGAGCGAGCGAGGCCAAGGCCACGACTACAAGAATGAGAAGGTGAGGCCACGACTTGCGAGCGGGCGAGTGCAGGTGCGAGGTCAAGTGCGCGTGTGGACACGGGTGCGAGTGCGAGCATTGGGGCGACTATGTGCACGTGAGCATAAGGGAGACCATGAACCCGACCTAAATTTACAATTGAGTTAGTATTTGAAATTCTAACCCAACCCACTTTTCAAATGGGTTGACCCAAATCCAGAATTTTTGGGCTGGGTCTAGTTTAGTTTTCGGGTCTTATCAAATATTGACACCCCTAATAAAGGTGGTTGGGTGATTGTGTTGGTTGACGATTTTCAGGAGACTATAGCTTGACTTATCAGGTGATGATTGTCATGTAATAATGAATATGCAATGACTAATGGCCACATCAATCAAGTGATGATGGTTGGGCTACGACGATAGCTGACAGTGATTATTGGCGTCAAATATCGGGTGAAGCTCTAAGCTCTCTCCAAATTTAGCTTAGGGTCCAAACTTCCCCTTTTATATAAAGAATAAACATCTATTTATAATTTTCTTCTTAGGCATTTTACTAATTTTAGCAAAGATTTTCAAAATAGTTTTTCAAACATTTAATGTTAACTCCCTCAAGTGCACCCTAATTTTTAGCAATAAATTGTCTTAAGAACCCAGAATTGAGTGTCATAGTCTCATTAGATTACTCTCGAAAAGATGCTTCATTTGATTGATTACAAGCATGCAAAGTTTAGAAATCATTTAATGCATTAATTAATATTTTGAAAATTTGAACCACACCTCATGAGGGCTGGTTTTGAACTCATCTAGATATAGATTAGATCACTTTTGGTATCATTTAGTTCATTATCTAAAGACATTCAGTTTGACTATCACTTTATTAAAATTTAATTCAGTTGTACCTAAATATACTTCTAAAAATTTTCAACTCAAATGATGTATATAAATATTCATACTTGATCAATTGAATTTTCTGGTTAAATTATATCACCTTTTGAATCAATAAAAAAATATTCCCTATTATTTCCAACTAAAATGAATGATATCCTAGTTATATTTATTAGGTTATTAAAAAAGTAAATGAAAATAATTTTTTTATATAATAATTTTTGAAATTGCAGTATTGCCCTTAACTCTATTGAAAAATTTTTACAAATATTATACATTAATCCCCAAAAGTCACCAAAGTTATTTGAAATCACCAAATCTTGACCTAAACCCAACCTAAAGCCCAACCCAAAAACTCCCAAAGAAACGCTTAGACCGAAGGGGTGGACCAAAAATCCGTCCATCCATGCATGCATGCATGCATTGCATGGATGTGCTCCTCCTCCGAACCCCACACTGCGCATAGCACCTTATATACGGAAACTAGTTAGGGAGATGCCGGGAGAGAGAATAGCGAGAGAGCGAACTGGAGAAGAGAGAGAGAGAGAGAGGGGGGAACAGAGAAAGAGGGCAGCCGTTGCGGATTAAAAACCTGCCTTCTCTCTCGCTTCTTAAACACGCCGCCTCTCTCGATGACCATTACAATCCGTCAGTCTCTATTCAGTTCTTCCGCATTCCTCCCGAATCCCAAAAACTCATTTTTCACCTTCTCTGAATGCTCCTAACTTTGCACCAGTTTGTGTAAGCCATCGCTTCCTTCCATTGTCGGTGAGTCTCTTTCTGATCCTCAGACCGATGCCCTTTCGGTTTCCTTGATCTCTCTGCGATCCCGGCCGATCGTGTCCTCCCTGTTTCCGATCCTTTTTAATGGGTTTTCTGCCGTTTCTGCTTTTGTTTTCCGGATTTTGCGTTTCTTTTTCTTGGAAAGAAGTTTGGGTTTTGTTTGGGGATGATCAGGGTTTTAGGGGTTTTACAGAGTTGCGTTCCATTTATTATTCCATATAATAACTGAAAATTATATTTAACTCCTCGCTGAGAATTTGGGATTGTTTTCTGGTGGACATTGATGATTTAACTTTGATAACGGATTCCATTTGGTAATTATCTCAGATTAGTTCCTTTCTTTTATCTTTTATGGGATTTGATCCAGCTAAGTTATGAATCTAGAGCATTGGGATTGTTTAAAGTATGTATTTGAGTTCATTGCTCTGTTCTTCTTCTCTTCTTTTGGATTATTGTGTGAAGGGGAGGGAATTTGGGGATCTTTAGGTTCAAGTTTCTTGTGAATATATGTGTTAGTCTTTCATCAATAATTTAGTTATTTCTTCCTTGATATGTTGCAACATTGACTGATGACAATTTGCAAAAATTGAGAATTTTGTTAAGCCATTGTTCTCCTGTTTTTTATGATGAATATTATTTATGAATTGAATGCCGAGGTTTGTGTTCCTGAACTTTTCATTTTTTAGCAAAAATAGTGCTAAGGACTTGTTCAATTCTTTTTTTTATTTGACTGATTGCATATGGTTTGGAAAAGTGTGCTAATTATCTAATTTAAATATACTTAAATTCCTCTGATATATAATTTTTGTGGCCTGAAGGAACTCATTGTTGGATCTGCATTGCTGAGAAGAACTGGCTTTTCCTGGCATTTTCAGGCTGCTTAAAAGATTATTCTGTTTTCGCCATGGAAGGATGCATAGTTGAGCAAGACTACGATGAATTCGAGAAGCTTCTTGGGGAAATTCCCAATGCAACTTCTGGGAACCATCTTTTAAAGCAAACTAGCCTCACTATTCATTCTCAAGAAATGGATAGAGACTCCATAAGGAAGACGATGGAATTTTCTTCTAGCAAAAAGGCTGGTAGCCTATCTTCTCAAAGCAGAAAGGCTTCCGAACCATCTAATTTTCCCCTGCCTGCTACAAATCGAGGGTGCATGTCTTACAATGGCGATTTGGCATTTTCCAAATGTCCCCAGAAACTCCAAAGAAAACTAAATAAGGGTTATGAATTTCCTGAGGCGATTCATAGGGAAGAGAATTCCAATTTGCCTGATGAAAAATGCCTGGCACGGTTACTAGAGGAAATGAGCATTGAAGAGAATCTGACATCAAAACCAAGTTCTCCTGCTCCAGTTACGAGCAAGCAAAGCCCTCTGAATCGAACTTTCTTACAAAATGAACAGAATGTAAACCACCAAAATAACTCCATTCTTGGATATGATACCATAGATATGAGTTTACCCCCATCTGGAACCCTTACTGGGGTAACTCTATCAAGTATTGAGCTTGAAGCGCAGTCTCCTGTTATGACAAGAAATGAGCTTATAGATCCATGTGATAGAATTAATGGTCAATGTAATGTGAAATTGTTTAAACCTGGCAATGTTTATGAACCAAACCAAATCGCACGGAGTTTAGTGGGCAACTTTTCCGACCATCAGCAGGTTTGTCCAATGAACACCATGGCTATGCCCAATTCTTGCTTCAATACTCATCAGTTGCTACCAACCGCACAGGGTGTACAATTACCTAATGTATATCAGCCCAACTACTATATGGATACTCGATCCCCTCCCTCGCATATAGCTCAACAAGGTATGCTGTGGCATAGCATGGAAGATGAAAGATTTGGCCGTTTCTATCAACAGTACTTATATGCACAGAATTTACAAAATCAAAGGCCTGAAGTCCATCAAGTTCCAAAGAATATTAATTTTGGTAGGGGGCCTTTTAATGGAAATACTTTGCACCAATGCTTCGAATTTCCTATCCCTCAACGCCTTGAACATTGTAATCAAAATCTACATCTGAACGGTAATACAATTTATGATAAATCTAATTTGTTGGATTATTGCCAATACCAGCGTCAGCCGTCATCTGAGAGATTTGAGAACTTTTGTTCTTGGAATGGAGAGAAGGTATTATCTGCTAATGGTCTAAGTTGCTCTGTCAAGGATTTCCAAAGGCATCAGATGTTTGATAAAGTTGGAATTCACGGCTTTCCAGAAAAGATTTTGACTAGGTCACATGGTGTGAACTCAGTTAGAGTTCTTAGGCCCAGTCTTTTTGCACCGGATCAACCATTGCTTTTTGATGAAAACAGTTTGAGATGGTCAAATGGCAATGCCCGCCAGCCTTACGGTCTGAATAATGGATCCCTGCAATTGGATAATCAAAGCTATAGAGGTTCATGTTCTGATGTTTTTTACTCTGGGATTGCTTCAAAGTCAATGCAGAAAAAATACAATTCAGTCAATGAAGTTTTAGGGAGAATAGTTTTGCTGGCAAAGGATCAGCATGGATGCCGTTTTCTGCAGAGAAAATTTGCTGAAGGTAGTCAGGAAGATATTGACAAGATCTTTTCAGAGATTATTTTCCATATCATTGAGCTCATGACTGATCCTTTTGGAAATTACCTTATTCAAAAGCTTCTCGAAGTATGCAATGAAGAGAAAATGATGTTTATACTGAAAGTCGTTACCAGAAATAATGATGAACTTATTAGAATCTCATGTGATATGCATGGGTACACTTCTCTTTTCATGATTTATGACGATGTTGATGGTAAGATTTATTCATTATCCTTTTATTAAGTGACTTTTTTCCATTAAGTGCAGAACCCGTGCTGTGCAAAAGATAATTGAAACTGTGCGGACGCCAGAGCAGATTTCTATGGTTGTGTCATCTTTGGCTCCCAATATCGTTTCAGTAATGAAGCATATCAATGGTAATCATGTTGCACAACGGTGCTTGCAATATCTTTCTAAGTACAGCAAGGTAACTTTTTGAACTCATGCAACAAAATGATCACAACTTATGCTTCTGCAGGAGCTGCATCTGTTGTTGACATCAAAACTTAAAGTTTAATATAATATTGGTCAATTTGTGCAAATATTATTTCTTAGATCTCTTGTTTTTAGATTTTCATTCAACATCACCCAATTGTTAGTGATTCCTGGCAATCTTTCTTTACGCACTGCTGTTTTAACAGTTTACCATCTGATAAAATCTGTCTTTCCTAGATCAATGTTTTTCTTGTGCTGAGATTGGTTATTATTTGCCAATGTAAACATATCATTCTAGCCCAGTCTTCCATAAGATTATGTGTCAGAACCCTGTACTCTGCAGATCTGAAATTCGTTCTTTATCCTATGTGAAAAGAAACACTTACAAAATATTATAATTTAACTTGTTAATGTGATAGTTTGACCATCTTTGCTATACACAGCACTTCATTCTGCTTCTGCTAAAAATGGTTTGGCCTTTCCCATGAACATTAAAGTGTAGAGAATTGTGCTAATTCTACAAAATTTCCAACTCATGTTAAAGTTCATTCAAGCTTCTATTCCTCCGAAGACACATACTACAAACCCAGCTATCTAGATCTGTTTCTTGGCTTAAGTTTTTGAAAGAATTTTTTAGTTAATCTTATATAAATTTAAGTATTTAGACAATATTAGCATGATGGTTTTTCTGTCTTGGCCAGCAAACTAGTAAGAAATGGAGATATCTGGTTTGATTATTTTGATATGCTTAACAATGTTTCAAATGACAATACAAAAATATTATACCAAATATAGTTTTAATTTTCAAATTTAGTGGCTACCAAAGTTAATATCCAATTCATAGCTAACTTATCATGCTTATGACTTCTAAACATTATATAAGATGATGGTTGCATGGTGTTGAAGAGCATCACTTATTCTTCTCCTTTCAACTTGGTGTAGAAATGGAGATTACTGAAGTGGTCAGTGGTGTGATCAAAAGTTAGTGGATATCTTGGCCGCCATTATATAGAGCAATTTTTTTTGTTGGGTGGGCAAATGTAGCATTTAAGAGAAAAAAACCTTCTCAAAGAAAAATCAGTGATTAAGATAAGGATTGTTGATCGATGAAGTGGTTTGACTTAGGAGACGATGAATTTTCTTCTACCTCTGATAAGCATAGCCAGTGGAGGAATTGTGTTCAGATTTGGAGAGGGAGAGAGGAATATTAGTGAGATGTAAATATATGTATCAAATTTTATAAGATGGAGGTGAGACCTGCAATGCTTTATGGGGCAGAATGTTGGCCATTAAAAGAGAAGCATAAAATTAAGTGTTATAGAGATGAGAATGCTCAGGTGGATGAGTGGCTTTACACTTAGAAAAAGAATGTGAAACAAGTATATATGTGAAAAGGTTGGAGTGGATTCAGTGGCAGATAAGATTAGAGAAGTCAACCTTAGATGTTTTGGTCACATAAAATGTCAACCTTCTGATGACCCGATTAAGAGAATAGATGTAATAGATCTAGCCTATGTTAAGAAAGGTAGAGATAGACCTAAAAAGACTTGGTTAGAAAGTATTAGAAATGACATTTTTTTTATTAGATTTAAATGAGAATTTGACTCTTAATAAAATACAATGAAGAAAAAGAATTCATCTAACCGACTATCTAATGGGACAAAGGCTTGATGTTGTATTATTGTTGTAAACTTCAAAATAGTCCTAATTATTCGTATATAGCAAATTTAGTCCTAAAGTATCATGTTGCTCCAATTTAGTCCTTAACTACACAAAATTGATCCTCATTTAGTCCCAAATGGATCGTTTTGGATCAATTGAGATCAATTTTATTTCACAATTATAATATGAGGGAACATTTTTTTATCAATTTTGTATAGTTGATGTACTAAATTAGAGCACGGCATTAAATTGGTCACAGACGAATAGTCTGGAGATTTCTATATGCATTATTAAATAAGGATCCTATCAGTCACTTTCTCAAATATTATGTGAAGAAGTTGCCAGGGATGAGCTAAGATGCATGAAATGATGCTACTTATTGAGAAGTTAAAAGCTTTGTGAACATTATCATTATCTAATGCAGAAACTAAAACTAGTGGTCTTTAAGTTCTCTTAAGAAATATACAGTGAATTGATTTCCCTTTGATTTCAGTAAACTTTGGAGTTTAGATCCTAGAAAGGCCTGCTTATTTGGAAATACTTCCTCAGTCTTGCATGTTGTTTTTTTTGTGATAAAGAGACTGCTGAGAAATTGAAACCATTACAAATTCATGGAATGGCTTAATTTCAAAGTCTGCCGAGACATTTAAAACTGATGAGGAAAATATGAAATTCAAATCCAGAATTGGCAGTTTAATCAACCATGAATGTTATTTGTTCTTTTGAACTGCTGAAGCTTTAGGGATTCTTTTCACATTATGAATTTTAATGTTATTAGTATAAGTTTTAATCTGCCTAAGCACCGTAGCATTTTGTATCTGTAAGTTGTATCCATCCAGTTCATATTTTTACTACTTTCATCTCTTCAAACCTTTTTGAATGTTCAATGACCTTTTGATAGCATTCAAATATTTAAATTACTGTACAATTGAATATTTTTCTTTTTAGTCGTCATTGAATGCAAAGCATGTAATATTTTCTTTGTTCCATCCATACCAGGTATTTACAGTGTGCTTGAAGTATCCAAAAGTTCATGAACCTCCTTAATTGTTATGCCAATACAATTAATTACCTTGCCAAAATTGTTTATTATGATAAAATTGTACATTATCAACCTTTGCTTATTCATGTTTGCATCTAAGGCTTCGTTTGGGACGGCTTTCTTGTTGCTTCTTAAAATAACTTTTTAGTATAAAAAATTAATTTTTTGTACCCCCCGGGCCAAGCAGCACCTCATTCTCTTCATAGCCTGCAACTCTACCGACCACTTAAAGGCTGATGCAATCACCTCAAAATGCTCTCTTTCCTCCCTCATTGTTATCTCTAACCACACTTTCAGCCCAATCCTTCACCGCTGACTTCACCCATCTCAGTTGATACCTTTGCTCAAAGCAGTTCTGTCATCCCTTTTCCCTTGCTCAGCTCAGAATTTTATTTTTAAGACGTAATGGTCATGAATGATGATTGAGAAATATCGTTACCCTTAATTTTAGTAAATGCAAAATCAGATAATTTTTTAGATTTCTTCATAGTATCAGTGGACAGGTTTTTCTCAATTAGTTTTAACTGGGCAAACAGTGATAATGATAGCAATATTATGTTAGCTATCTTTGGTCCTTTGAGTTTTCTTTCAACTATGTAAATAATCTATTGATCATAATGTTTTTTTATGCAACTAGGATATTTTCTCCCTGATTTCTGTTTAAGTTGCTGGAGGTCTCTTACATCTGAGATTAACATCTTAGCACCATAGTTTGTCCTTTCATTTGTTGGACCTTTTAATCATTGTGTTGCATAGATCTCTTGGTTCTAAGGGGATTATCTTGAAAATTATTTTCTTTTTAATTCTCAAAATTTTATTGATTTTAGGAATATGGCATGGTCTATACTCTTATGTCCCTTCTATTCCTGTTTGCCTTGCATTATTTATCTGGTGGAAGTATATTTTGTAGATCACAATCAATAAGAATTATGTTAAGAGCAACATTTAAAAACATTTGATAGGATCTGGATCTGTAAAACATTGGAAGAATGATAGAAAATGACTGGTTTTCTAATATCTTGGGCTTGTGAACCATTCTTGTATTGGGCAAGCTCTTGCTACTCTGGAATCTAGATATTAGGCGAAGTTTAACATTGAGAGAGCTTAATGCATTATATAAGAAGCATAAATGACTACCATTAAAGAAAAAATTCTTGATTCAAGCTTATTGTGAACGTATTGCTAAATTATATGCAGTCATTAATTTGCACAAGCTCTTGTTATTGTAAACTCCAGCATGCCCACCCCAACTCATCATTCCTAGGCTTAAATTTAAAGAATATTTTTTTATTGGTAAATGCCTAAAATGTATAAAATGTGCTATTAATTGCACTTCGGGACTTTTATCCATTTCTTTCCTTTGTATTAGTGGAAGCCTCGGTCCATGTCTATGCTTCATCATTTTATTTGCAGGTACTCAATAATAGCTAAGCCGTTGCACAATGATTATAGGCTCATCTTTGGGTTCTCGTTGCCTGATGTGTGGAAATACGCTTGTACTTGTGTTTTTCCTCTAAATGCCAAACCAGCCTTGATGGCAAGTAGAAATTCACTGATGATTGATTACACGTGAAATTAATTCAAAAAATGCCCTCTCTTATGATCATCCAAATCTCATTATACCGTGATCCTAAAAAAATAATGCTTTCTTTTGGCTTGGTAAGGCTTCGTTTGGGATGGCTTTTTTACTACTTCTTGAAGAAGCTTTTTAGTAAAAAAATTTAATTTTTATGCCAGAAATATGCTTCAAGAAGCAGTAAAAAAGTCGTCCTAAACTAAGCCTAAATCAGTTTGGAAAGTTTAAATGAATAAAGAATGATTGACAAAGCTTGAAATTAAAGAATTGGGATATTTCTAAATATGATATGATCTAATTAGCATTAGTTTGGGCGTTTTTTTGGGATGTATTGGCCTACCACTTGGTTTTTAATAAGATAAATTTCATCCTATGAACACCACTCGACTCACTATCAACCCTTATCTTGCAGCTTCTTGTCGACGCCGCAATTAGCCATTGTGTAGAGCTGGCCACAGATCGCCAAGGCTGCTGTGTTCTTCAAAAATGTCTTATGCATTCAGACGATGATCAAAAGCAGATGCTTATAGCTAAGATCTCATCCTACTCACTGATCCTTTCCAAAGATCAATATGGGTATGTCATTGCACTCCAATTCCTGTTTATCACATTTTTTTTATTTTTTAAACTGCTTCTGAACCCAAACATAATAGAATGACAAATCCATTTCTTGAATTTGTCTTCGTGCAGGAATTATGTAGTTCAATATATCCTTGATTTACATGACCCATGGGCAACCACTGTCGTACTGCAACAGTTAATGGGAAATTATGATCATCTTTCAGTGCAGAAGTACAGCAGTAATGTGGTTGAGAAATGCCTCGAACTTGCCGAAAAGGACAATTTTGCCAAAATTATTCAGGAACTAATGAGATCTCCTCAACTATCACAGATCCTGCAAGATCCATACGGAAACTATGTAATGCAAACCGCTCTGATTAAATCCAAGGTACTTTAGCTTGTTTCCCCACTTTTTTTATTACCTACTTTTCATTTAAATGGCGTAGAGTAGTAAATGATCTTATCTCATGATGGTAAGGTGCACGAAGATCTTCATAGAGATCTTGTAGAGGCCATCATATCACATTCTTCTGCACTCCGTAGTAGTCCTTACGGGAAGAAAGTTCTCTCAACTGCCTTAATGTCTCTGAAGAAGTAATCTTTTCGAAGTATTTAATTGCACAGCCTACTTTTTGCTTTGTTGCTTCGTACAGTAAAATGGCTTACAGAAAGGAAGTGTGTAGTATCAGGAAAAATGTAAAGCTAAAGGAAAACCAAATCTGCATTGGGTCTGTAAAGAAGCTTATAGGAATGGCTCCATTTATCTAAAGTTACTATGGTTTTATCATTCAAGAAAGTTTTGCATAATAGTTATAGCATTTATATGTGAAAACTAGTTTCAAGTTTCTTCTTGAAAGTGTAATTGCCTTTTGCTGTAGAAAATAGTGGCTGAAATTTGTAGTTGCTTGGTGTAATCTAAAGAATCTTCTGCTATGTTGTGCTTATGTCATTGGAATCACAGGTTTTTTCTGTTGTTACATTGTTTGTTTCTTACTCTTTTGAGGCTTAGACTTTGTTTGGGACGGCTTTCTTACTGCTTCTTCAAATAGCTTTTTAGTATAAAAATTAAAATTTTTGTACGAAAAATCTGCTTTAAGAAGTAGTAAGAAAGCCGTCCCAAACAAACCTTAGTTTGGTTCTTGCTGTGTAAAATTTGAAACACTTGGGGGTTGTTTGGTAGCACTCAGGATTTGATTTAAGTAGGATTTCGTAAATCATCTAAATCCAGATTTTGGAAATCCTGAGGGGCCAAAATCCTGAAAATTGTTTGGTAACTTTCATTAACTTTCATTTTGGGACGAAATCCTCAGATTTTGGAAATCTTGAGGGGCCGAAATCCGGATTTTGGAAATCCTGAGGCTTTATTTTGGGACGGCTTTCATATTATTTCTTAAAGTGATTTTCTAGAATAAAATTATTTTTTTTATTAAAAAATTGTTTTAAATTGTTTTAAGAAACAATAAAAAAATTGTTCCGATTAAAATTTAATTCAGGTGACAGAAGAAACCTCACATAACAACAAAGGTGTGCATTAAGAAAAACATTCGAAAGTAATTGGGATATGTAATTTGATGATATGTATGTAAATCTCCTAATTTTTAATATAATCTAACTTTTTTCTTTAAACAATTCATCATGTATATTATTAATGACTTAAATAGAACTTTAGCATGAAGATTAATTGAATCTATAGTACCTGATGAACTGATTTTTTTTTATTTAGTAAAAATTATATACCCACTTAGTGGGATAAAGGCATGATATTGTTGTAGTAAAAATTATATAAATATTATTTTATCATTTTGTAAGTGTTTCCTTATTTGATTTAGGCATAAAATCATCCCCTTATTTATAGAATTATAACTTTGAAGATTATTATTAATGCTAAGATTATTAATATTATAAGAGTTTATGCTTCTCAAATCGGTTTGGATATGTGTGTAAAATTAAAATTTCGAAATGACTTTGAAGAATTAATTCAAAATATCTCTCTTGAAAAAATTTGAGTATATTTAAATAGATATGTTGGTAGACAGAAGATTTTAAAAATCTTCATGGTGGCTATAAGTTTGAAGCGATTAATGAAGGTGATAAAATTATATTAAATTTTGCTCTATATGATTTTGCAATTTCTAATACATTATTTAAGAAAAGAGATGATCATCTTATCACTTATAAAAATGGATATAATAGAACTCAAATTTATTATTTTCTCATTAAAAAAAAAAGACAAATAAGATGGTCGATTTCATTAAGATGGTTATGATACAAATTTCTATGAGCCTATAAATAAATCATTCAAAAATAAAGAGAATACATGGTAGAATAAGGATTCAAAGGGTTATAATGAGCATAAGAAAAACTTAAAGTCTTTAATGATTAATCTCAAATGAGCTATATTATATCTGCATTATTACATATCCTTAAAATTACTCCAAACACCTAAAATGTTATTTTTTTGAATGTTTTCAAAATTAATTTGATTTGATTTTAAATGAAATTAAAAATATATCAAATAAATATATTTATAAAAAATAAACTACAATACTTATTTCCAAATATGATAAATAAATACGCTTTGACATGCAATTTTCTGGGCTTTTAAGAGCACTCGAAACATCTTAGCTGATAGTAGCAGCTAAAGCTCTCTGTCAACAGATAAAAATTTAGTTGCCTAACAATAGTCACTATTAGAAGCTTTATTTAAGGGGAAAAAATGTAAGTCATCAGCAGATGACTGCTATTACAATAGGAAAGAATTCAAACAAGACTATATATTAAATTACACAGAGAAGTTTCTAGAAGCAAAAATTTTAGATAAATTATGTGACTGTTTGCACTTATTTACTCATTGGAGGAAGGCCCAAAATAATAATAATAATAATAAAATCAGGCTTCCCAACCTCGAAGGACAGTTGCTCGGGCAACCCGATTAATCCCAAGAGTAAAGGCTCCCATTCGCAGATCACAGTTATGGGTCTTGCACATGTCCTTCACATCTTTGAAACCTTTGATCATGTAGTTCTTCAGCTCAGAGTTCACCTTTTCTTCATCCCACATAAATCCCTGAATGTTCTGGAAGCAAAGATGGCAGTTAGTATAGTGTAATTAGAGGAATGGAGGAAATTTAGGCTTTGTTTGGGACCGACTTTCTTATTGTTTCTTAAAGCAGTTTTTTAATATAAAAATTTAATTTTTACACTAGAAAGCTGTTTTAAGAAGAAATAAAGATCATGTTTTGTCCTATGTAAGCCCAAGAGGCAAAGTTGTCTTTTAGTTTCTTTTAAGGCTTATATATAGAGGCACTTGCTATTGTATTGGTATGTTGGATTTTTAATAAAAAAATTATTCTGCACTTATGTTCCTTGGGAGGACTTTAGTGAGATCCCTATGGGAGAGAATCATAGTATTCACCAGCTACAGGAAGAGTTCGGGCTCGTGGCTTGAAATCTCTTGGTGAAGGGAAACGTATCGCCCGTCGGCCGCAAGAAGCGTCCGAGCTCACGGTTTTATCTTTCTTTCCCTGAACTCCTTTTCTTCTTCTCCCTTGACCGCCGGCCATACCCACTCCATAGCCGCTGACCAAGCTTCCCTCTTCCCTCCTCCTACTCTCTAAACCGTACACCACTACCCCTTCTTTCTCCTCCACCCGTCGGCCATAAGTCCCACCACCACCGGCCTCAAGGATCATTTCTTCCCTACCAAAACCTCCCAAAACATTCCTTTTACTCCTAGACGCCACTATCAAACCCTAGCCCTCGACCACCAGACATAGTGCCTCTCTTTGCCTCCAAATCTTCAAATCCCAAATTAATCCCTTTCCATATGTGGTGTATTTCAATTTGACAGATTTCAATTTTAAATTTCAATTTTAATTGAATTGAGAGTCTTTCATAAATTAGCTATTTGTTAATTTGGAAAGTTATTCAATTTGAATTCAAATAAAATTTGGATTTCAAAAACTTTCCTATTTAATAAGTTCTACTTTAGGAAACCCCTCCAATTACTCCCAATATGAAATTAATTTCAGATTTAATTTCCAATCCCAATTAATGCTTGATTATTCATTGAACCTAGACACCTCCTCCTTCCCTCTCATTTGGCCGGCCCCTCTCTCCCCTACTTCAATGATTTCCTTCCTAATTGAAGGCCTCAATTAAGGAGAAAATTAATTCCCTTCTTCCCTCCCTTCTTTTCTTATTTGAATTTCAAATTCAAATCCATTAATTAAGGAAAATTTGAGATGGAATTTTAGATCTTTAATTTTTATCACCCCCCTCCCGTTCTACATCACCAACAAAATCATTGAATCCTATTCATACTTCCATTAATGTTGTGTTTGGTGAGAAAATTTACTAGCATCCTACTGGTCTCTTTCTCTTAGAAGTTTAGTAATTTTGTACGTGTCATTTCTTTCAAAGGGATCAATTTCATCCTTATAAGTTCTAACACACTTTTATTGAGATCCTTTACTCCCCAAACCCCCTCTTGTCTTTACCAGATCCTACGCACAATGCGCCTTTCTACCCGTACTACCCCCACCATCTTCTCTAAGAGTCCCTAACACTTATCTATACCCACCATACATCCTGCCATAATACTACCCACCACCTGCTCAGGCCTTTGCAGGAGGACCTTTCACCCATACTGCAACAGCACCGACGACAGATGGGTGCATGTTGATTGAGCATGAGGGTGACAAGTAGGTAATGCATGCTTTACATTGCTCAAATATTTTGATAAATAATGTTTCAACAAAATATTTTGTGTAGGTTTTATCCATCTAAGCAGCTCACACACAAGATACGAGACATCAAATGGAGCAAGTTTGATGCTCCATATATTTCTTGGAAGAAAATCCCTCAAGAAGTTCGCGACATGTAGTATAGGAAGTTTGAGATTTGTAATTAACAGTATCAATAATACATGTGCATTTTAATTAATCTAACAAAAAATATTCTATGTTTTACTTTTTGATATGCTGAGAAATTTCTACTGGTAGCCCCAGCAAGATGTAACGATCAAAAAAAATTTGAGAAGCGGGGATTGACTCGCCTGCGAGACATGCTTACGAAAATTAGAAAGTTAGGCGAGCAACCGCTTTGGATTGGCGAGACTGTATGGGCCAATCGGATCAGAGCTCGGGGCAGCCAAGACTATACTAGGAGGGACCATACTAGATAGCACCGAGCTTTTGATGTTGGGGGCATGGGCAGTGCCCTCCATACTGGGGGCTCAATTCCACACACTAAGCACAAGCGATGATTGGTAGGAATTTTAACATGTTTTTAATAATTTATTTAGTTATGAATACTAATCTAAGTATATTGCATAAAGAGATACGTTGTAGAGAACTCGCTGTTGTTAAGTTGCACACTGGCATCCACTAGCGTTAGGAGGACTAGCAATAGGGACTAGCAATAGTGGACGAGCGAGCAAGAAGGGCCTTTGTGAGTCTATAAGTTTGTAATATTAAGAGAACTGTTTAAGTAACAATTATACAATGATTAATCTTATGTTATCTATTGTATGATGAGTATACACTGCTTCGAAAGAGTCAGGTTGGAGTTGGTGAGGAATCCTCTATGAGATCAATAGATTATTCCACCCACCGCATATGGTCGCAGGTGGTAGGCGGTAGAAGGAAAGAATTTATGCATTACGCTCGCAGGCCTACGCATACAAGGAAAGCGTGGATTCTTTTTGCCATAATTTTCGGTGGAAATTGGCGGGAATTTCCAACGGATTCTCGGCAGGAAAATTCGCAGGAAATTCTTGCAGAAAATCCGCCGGAAATTCTTACAGAAAATCCGCTGATAATGCCTCAAAAACGGTTGTTTTTTCAATCATGAATCCGTCGGTAACGTTTTCGACGAAAATGTTTTGTCAAAAATTCATTATGACGCCCGAAATGTCGTCGAAAATCTGCCAATAATCATAATTTCTGGTGGATTTTCTTTTTTTTTCCAGCTGACAAATCCGTCAAAATGACTACATTTCCTATGGTGGGTGGTCCACAAAGTGTTTCAAACTATTATTATAATATAAAAAAAATGAGGCTCATCAAGTGCTTTGTATGATAGAATCTATCGTGTACAGATAACTAACATGATTCAACCTATGATGCACGGACATGGACACGGCGACACGGACACGACACGACACGGACACAGGATAGCTTTTTTTTGAAAATATAGGACACGGGTACGGCGCGGACACGGCAATACATTTTTTTATATAGTGTATATATATTAATATAATATCATATTAAAAATAACAAACAATAATAAATGAATGACATGATAATTTGTCTAGTTTATAATATAAAATATTTAGTATAAAATATCTAGTACAACCACAAAAATATAAGCAAATAATCACTTACTACAACATCAAGCATTCAAGCTTCAACTACTAGGATTAGCTTTAGAGGTTTGTTCTTGGCCTCAATATCATCATCATTGAATATCACTACTTTAACTCTGGTTCAACAAGAGAAAGATTTGTAATTGTGCAAAAAGAGAGGAGA